CTAGCTTAATTTGTTCAGAAAATATATTTACTTTATTTTCTTAATTGATGAAGAATTACTAATTCACTCATCTTGACTAACTCTATTTTGATAGCATGCAATCTGTAATTATTAAATAATGAAATAAAGCTGAGTGATTTAAGTCCTCATCCTTTTTACAAACTCTAACCATGCTCACTGCTGTTGAGTCAACTTGAACTTGTAGTGACTGTCCAATGGATTTCTGAGACTGTGGGTCTTCAAAGGAGGAAAATCTCCATCTCTATCACACAAGGAGTCAAACTGCTCACCTTTTGATTAAAGAGCATTAATATACTATGCCACTCGAGCTCCTTATCCCGGTAGGGAATAGTGGGAATTTTCCATAGCATAAGAAAAAAATCAATTTTTCTAGTCTTTATTACTAGGCCTGTGACGTAAATAAATATTGAAATAAGCAATCTTTTTTAAAAAATAATTTCAATTCCAGAGTCAGCTTTCATAGTAATAGAAATCATAACAGCAAAATCACGTTAGGCTGTTAAAACTAGACCATTTTAGAAGACTCACAAGCATATACACCTTACCTGCATAAACTCAGGTCGCAAATTTTTTAATCCATAACGTTGTTGTACAGTCAAGTGCAAAAAATTACGTCCATAATGATCTTTTATATCTACTTGGGCACCTAAAAAGAGTAGAACAGAACTGTAACTTCTATCTATCTATCTATCTATCTATCTATCTATCTATCTATTTATTTATACTATAATTTATTTTAGTTTTCAGTTTGAGAAAATGAATGACTTATTACTTTACACTGTGTGCCAGCCTTTCAAAGAAAATTTTACTCAGATGAGAAAATATATTATATTCAAAGGGTTTATATAACTGTGTGTGAAATATATTTAAAGGGTTTACATAACTGTGTGTGTATGTGTGTGCTGAAGGGAGAATATTTGATATGTTTCATCAATATATGAGGTATTATCATAAAATAGAAATAAAGTAAGATTAGACATGGGGGGAAAAGAAGATAAGACCAAAATGCTTCTCTTTTATGAGTTCTCATGGCACTAGGGAAGTATCTAGTTATGGTAGCAGACTTGAAGAACTAATTAATTCAAAGACTATTGATAAAATGTTCATCAAATGTCTAAGAAATAATTGTTTTATGAATATTATCTATTATTATTCTGAACTTTTCATTTTATCTACCAATCTCTTATTGGAATGAAAATGATGTTAGGCATGGGCAGTGTTCCATTATCTTTATAGTCATAGTACCTGGCCCAGTGCCTGGCACACAATAGATGGTTAATAAAAGCTTATTCATCCAAATTGAACCGAGATTATAAAGATGTGGCTCAGTTCTTGTCAATACCTTTAGATAGCAGTAAATTCACAATGTTCCAAGATGCAGAAGCAGTTGCTAATAGAAGTGGAGAACGTCCTTCATAATCTATGCTATTAATATCTGCTCCCTAAAACAAAACAAGCCATTTAACTAAGAACTTGTAAGCAAATAAATCAGCATACAGTATAATCTCTAAATAATAGTAACTCACTGAAATAAAGGCTAGATAGTAGTCAAGCTTGTGATAAACTATAGAATTTCTGGAGATTTCTCTATAATTCATATGTTGTTACTTCAAAAATTAAAGCCTTCTTTCACAATTTCAGCAAAAAAATATTCTCACATGTTAATCTATTGACTGCTAACTACCAATAGCTGTCACTATTATAATAACAACAACACCCCTTTGACCTACACTATTATTGTATTTCTCACTTTAAGAAATTGTTTTTTAAAATAACCAAATGCTAAAGATCCTCCAAAATCGTGCTCATATTATCTGCGTATAGTATCACATATCTGCAAATATGACAATGAGTTCAAAATAAATATTCACATGAAAGAATTCTACATTATCAATTTTACTTCAAGTTCTAAAATAATTTGTAATTAAATATTTTTTTTAAAAACTGTATTTTGAATCATATGACAGATTTTTTTTACTCTTTCTGAGATGTTTACTCAATCTTTTTATTTTAGCAATAACAAAAAAATTGCTCCCAATTACCAAAAGTGACTGATTTGTACACTTAAAACATTATTAAATGTAAATTATAGTTTAACAAAGTTGAAAAACAATCAAACATACATCACAGACAGTACTTGCAATAAAACAATCACACTTGGTTATATTTATCAGTGTAATGACCTACTTTATAATCAAAATTTATGACTCCAGTGAATCTCGAATGTTTATATAATGTGAAAATGAACTTAATTTTGGGAGAAGGTGATCTTATATGATCTCAAAATATGTCATGTCTTCTGGAACATAAACGTGGAAGAAGTGAATAGTTGGACTTTACCTCTATTCTTGTTTCCCTTAGTAATGGAAACTTGATTCAGAACTAATCTGTATCTTTGGAAGCAGGAGTGGAATCCACTTCCTAAACATGTGTTTGGAAACGATGAACTTTGATAAACGATGCTAGTTATAGAACGGCTTCAAGCCTTTTGTTCACAGGGTTGCTATGAGTTGTGCTCAATTTGATGCAAACAACAATAACCACCTGTAGCTAACCCTCCAGAAGCAGTTTTCTGAAGCAGTAAATAGCATCGGAGGAGACTGCCCATCTTTCTCTCCTGGAGCAGCTAGTGGATTTGAACTGCATTGCCTTCTGGTTGGCAGCACACCTCCTCAGCACTAGGCCACCAGAACTCCCTAATGTACCATTATATTTAGTTATAGTATTTGATATGGTAAAAACCCCACCTTAAAATATTCATGCTTAAAGTTATATATTTTGATAAACATAATTTCAACTATGGATTTAAATGCATTTGAATATGGCAGCAGTAACCCTCTGAAAGGAGGTTTGTTTGTTTTTTTAAATTAATGTTCTTGTTTGAGATACTAAAATATGTAGTTTTTAAAAATAAAAGCAATACTTGTTAAGCAAAACTAAAAGTGTGAAATAGTTGCAATTTAACATATAATTTTACAAAATTAATCAAAACTAGGACACTGAGAACAGTAAAGCTTCATCTCACCTATTTAGTACTTTGTAGGTGGGTAAGTCCTCGGAAAAGGAAATAGTGCTTGGAAAGGTGAAAGATCAGCAAAGGAGAAGAAAATTATCAATGAGATGGATTGACGCAGTTACTATAGCAGTGGGCTCAAATGTGTCAGAGATGGTGAGGATGGCAAAGGATATGTCAGGAGACATCTTTTGTGCATAGGGTACTGAGTCATAGTCAACTCGATGGCATCTAACAACAACTCAAATAGAACTGAAATAAGATGAGGCAAAGTTCTTAGAAATAGAAATGTATGTGTGTATGTGTGTGTGTGTGTGTTAGAAACCATAAGACATTGTGTTGTTGTTGTTATGTGCCGTCGAGTCGTTTGTGACTCATAGCAACCCTATGTACAACAGCCCTAAACCCTGCTCTATCCTGTGCCAATCGC